TGTCATGCAGTCGAAGCGTTTTTGACTTGTGGGTTCTTGCTTTGGTGAGCCGACGCAGTCCCCCCAGTGTACGCAGCCGTTGCGCGCTAGATTTCGCTTTTTGGGTTTTTAATTTTGGGCTCTGTGGCCGATGCGATTCATAATGCTATTGAGGTGAATTGTTCGTCTTTTGTTGTTGGTGAGCCGTAGCGCGCCCTCCTTGCTTTAAGGCCGTTGTGTTTTCTTTTCTTGTAGCCGATATAGTCACCCAGTCACCCACTCCTTTGGCCGAAGAGTATCTGAGGCACAAGGGAGTAATGAGCCGATTCGGTACCTATGCGTTTAGTCGCGATTCCAACCCTTAGGCGAACCTGTCCAAGGTAACCCTGTGGGAGAACCCTTGGACGAAGGTCGCGATACCAGGGTTATCATCAACGAAGCGCGCACAGGCGGTCGTAACGGTCTATTAAGGTTTTTTGGGTCGTTGTGAGGACGTAGAGTTTAGGCCGATGCGTTCCTTTTTCGGGAGAATGGGCCGATGCTTGTCCTGGAGCTTTGTAGTAATTGGGCCGTAGTGATACTCGGCCGATGCCTTGCTCTTTGTGGGGTTGAGTTGGGCCGTAGGGGCGTTTGCATGAGCGATTTTGAATTGGTACCCCTTGATTGGTTGGGGGAGAGGTGGCCGTTGGTGGAGCCAATGGGATGGCGCCACGTGTAGTTACCGTTGGAAGTTTTCTATAAATACCCCCTCATTCCAAAGCCACCTCCTCATTTGTGCCTTGCTGTTGTCGAATTGCTGCCCAAGTTTTTCTAGAGAGAGAAAGTTCTGAGATTTTTCAAGTGTTCATCACATCCTTCAAATCTTCCAAGGTTAGCTACTTTACTTTTCCTTTGTTTCCTTCATATTTTGCTCCTTAGGGTGTTAGATCTAGTGTTCGTAGGAAAGTCACTTTGATCCGGTAAACCACCCTTAGGGATAGGTTTAGGTGTTATGCCGTTCCCAGACGGCCGTAGCGTCCCTTCCCCTATTGATTTGACAGCCTCTCTGGACGAATCAGACTGGCCTTTTGACGAGGACGACGCGTCTCCTCAAGTGGATTTGAAAATCGTGGCGGCTTTTGAGATTGAGATGGAGAATACTGCGGATTACCGCACCTCCGTGGACGAGGAGCGTCTAAGTGCCGGTGCGGGTTCCCAACCCTCTGGTGAGGACGAAGCGAGCTCCGAGCCCAGGCTTCGCGAAGATAATGTGGGTGATGCTTCATCGGCCGCCATCCCCTGTCCACCACCAATTTCCTCTGTTCCGGGTGGCGCGTCGTCATCTGGGGTGGTGAAGAGACGTACATCGCGTCGGCGGAAAGGTGTATCCGGCGGGATTTCTCAATTGGATCTGACGAACCTTTATATTATAAGGCCGGAGGGCACCCAAAGCGAATACCAGGTGGCGCAGTAGTACGTCGGCCCCTATGGAAAGGTGAGGGCGCCGAAGCCGACGGACCATGTTTTGGACCCACCCCCTGGATATTTCGGGGTGTATCCAATGAGTTTTTCCCAAGGCTTGAGGTTTCCGTTGCCTCCTTTTGTGGTCCAATACCTGAAGATGTTGGACCTTCCTCCGGCTCTACTAACGCCGAACAGCTACTCCATCATCGTCGGGTTCCTTATCCGGTGCGATGAGCTTGGGATTGAGCCCACGACGGCGTTGTTTATGAATTTGTACCGGATCGGCCGGGGAAGCCACGAGAACTGTGCTGGCTACGCGGCGCTCCAGCAGTTGCCGAAGAAGAGGTCCTTCATAGATCTTCCTTCGTCCATCCACGGGTGGAAGAGCAAATTCTGCTTTGTGAAGTTGGCCGACAGGGTCTTCTTTCCCTCTCAAGGCCATAATGGCCTTTTTAACTTGCACACTCCGCCGAAGAGCGCTGAGGTTGATGCTCAAGTGGAGGCGTTCCTGAAGGGTGGACCGCGGAGCGTCAACACCTATATTACTGAGTTCAAGATCGCGGCCCTTGGGATGATGCGCTACTACATACCAGGCGATCCTGATTGTGGTTTGTGGCCGAAGATGTCTGGCTACTTTGAGCAGGCCGATGGGCCACTTATTGGGATCCCGGCCGAGGCCGAAGGTTGATAGCTTTTCTCTTAATCCTTGTGTACTTGGCATTTTTTGCTTCTAACTCTTTGTTTTGTATCGCATTCGCAGGTTTTGAAATGAGTCGCAAGCTTTTTATGGCTCAGGCCAAGAAAATGGTTGATAAAGAGATGCAGGCGGCTCGTCAGGCCGAGGCGTCCAAGGGTTCTGGCGACGGGACCAAATCTCAAGCCGACGCGGCGAAGAAGCCAATGGTGAAGAGGAAGAAGGCCGTTGAGGAGGGTCAGCGTACCCTAGCCGAGACGGGTCTGGTACCGGCCCAGGGTGCCAAAAAGACGAAGCGGAACCCTCCTCTTAATGATGCCGCGGTGGCCGACACGCAGGCATCGGTTCAAGGGGAAGCTGTCTCCGACGTGCAAGTTATCGAGGATCTGACTTTGAATGTCGCCTCGTCCGCCGTGGTCCCCGCCAAATCTGGTGCTGTTGCCAAGGGAAGCACCCGCGCCGATCGAGATCCGGCTACCGGCCTATATGAGGTGACGGTGCAGTACCCGACAAAGGGCGGGCTGTTCAACGAGAAGGTATCTGGCCACGACGTCTTGTTCCAGGCCATTCCTGATGCCGACAGGGAGTACCTGCGGCGGCAGAGCAAGGATGTGCGCCTCTTCGATGGCGGTCTGGACTACGTCGTCCAGGTAAGTCCCGGCTTTTGTACTTAGTAATTTTTGTATTCTTTTCCTCTTCTGACAATTACTTGTCTTTGCAGGGGGCTTTTATGCTGATGGAGCAGCAGCGCCGGCAGGAGGAAGAGATTGCTCGCCTCCGTGGAGCTGAGAAGAAAGTCGCTTCTGCTGACGAGGCGCTTTCCAAGCTGGAGCGGCTTCGGATTGAGACTGACTCCTTGAAGGAAAGAGCTGAAGCGGCTGAAAAGAGAGCCGTTGTTGCCGAGGACGAGGCGAAGCGCCTCCAAGTTCAGCTGGATGAAGAAGCGGCTGCCCGTCGGCTAGCAGAGGAAAAAGCTGTGAAGCTAGAGGCCGATGCGACTGCGGCTGCTGATAAAGCCATTGAACTTTTCATGGCTGAAGGGTGGAAGGACGAGGCCCGGCGCGATTGGAGCTATAACGTCGTGGCGGAGCGCTTTGAGGCGTGGTCGCAGGAGGAAGCCGGCCGAGCTTGCCTCAAACAGGAGTTTGAAGTCTGGTACGACCTCGGCCAGAGGCGTATGCAGATGTTGGTTTATCGCCGCCTCCGCCGCCGTGTGAAAAACTTGAAGCCCAGGGGTATCGGCCTTCCCCGGCTGATGAAGGACCCCGAGGAAGAGTTGAAACTCCCACTGTCCGAAAGGCAACCCCCCATTCTGAGTTCGGACGAGGAGGATGGGCCCTGGACCGAGAGTGACGACTACCTCTTCCGGAGCTCGGCCAAGTCGAAGACCGTTGATGACGTCGAGGACGACGCCGACAGTGGGGCCGTTGATGGTGGCCAAGGACAAGCTGCTTAGTGCTTTCTTGTACTTTGTTTCTTTTTGCATTCATAGTTGTAGTCGCAATGGCCGAAGCGCCCTGATGTATGTAATGGCCGTAGCGCCCCCCTTGTGTATGTTTGAATCATCAATTAATGAACTCCTTTTGTCTCAGTGTAGCTGTGTATTGTTGCTTCGTCCATTTAGTAATGCATGTTTTTCTACTTTTTGAAAATTTTTCAAAGTATCGAGATTTTTCTTGGAGGATGTTGTAGTCTCTCCCTTGAGACGTAGTGGTCCTCTTTTCATTTGTTACCATCAGGGACGGTGCGTCTCGTCATCTTTGTGTGCCATTTTTTGTCTTGGACAACTTTTTTGGAATTTCCTTAAGTATCAAGAGTTTGGCTTAGAAGTGTTGAAGACGAAGCGATACCTAGATATGGACTGGTAGCGCATCGGCTCCCTTTTAATGTGACTTTGAAAATTTTCCAAGTGTCCAACTTGCCTTGATGGAGGTGTTTTGTTTTGGTTCATCACTTGGGTTTTGCCACTTAAAGACGATGCGCCTCATCGTCCAAGTAGTGGAATGTGGTATCGTATATTTGAAGCTCAAGCGATTCAATCCTACGACCTCGTGGTTTTGGCCGAAGCGTGTACTTCGGGTTCCTGTATAGTGATCCTGATATGTACTTAGCCAATTTTGAGGCTTGGTTTTTGTGGGGATTTTATTTTATGCTCGAGGCCGGCGAGTGCGCGGTCCATCGGCTTCCCTCTTTTTTTTTTCTTTTTTTTTTGAGTAACCGAAGGGTTACTGTCCCTTCGTCCATGTGCGGTAGTTTGTCCGCTACGCTTTTCGCGTGGATAAGTGCGAGGGAGTAAATACGCCCTCGGCTTGGTGTGTCAGTGGCATCTTTTTTGGCCTTTCCACGTCTATCGTCGACGAGGGACCGGACTAGGCATCGTCTTTTGACGGCCTCCCTTTGTGGTCCTGAGCGAAATTTTACTGACGGGTGGAGTTTTTGTAACCTCGGCCTTAATTCAGGCTTGTCGTCCTGCGGTTTCCGCGCGGACGACGCGGTATGCTTCTCCGTTTGAAGACGTCGGACCATGCACACAGGTCCTTCGTCCTGCATATCGCCGGCCGATTTGGGTGTTTCACCGCTTGTGCCGATACGATATTTGGGTGCGTTGTCTATGCAACGGCTTTGTAGGCGCGTTGTAGGTCACAACGGCCTTAGGTGCGTTGTTTATTGCAACGGCTTTGGGTGCGTCGTTTATTGCGACGGCTTTAGGTGCGTCGTTTATTGCGACGGCTTTAGGTGCGTTGTTTATTGCAACGGCTTTAGGTGCGTTGTTTATTGCAACGGCTTTAGGTGCGTCGTTTATTGCGACGGCTTTAGGTCGCATCGGTCCCGAGTGTTATCACCGCTTAGGCCGATGCGGTTTTTTCCTTTGAAAGAATGAATTGAAACATGATCTTTTTTCAATAAATGGCGCTAGGCCGAGGGTGTTTCATTCAACCAATGAGCCGAGGGGTGGGGGACGTTGCCCACTTCACCGCTTCTCGAGTTATTGGTAAAATTTCACTAGATGGTGTACATTCCACAATCGTGGTACATCTGACCCATTAGGGTTCTTTAGTCTATAGGTGCCGGCTTTGATGACGGCGCTGATGATGTAGGGCCCTTCAAATTTGACGGCGAGCTTTCCTCCTTCCGTAGGTTTGCTTGCTTCCCTTCGGCGGAGGACGTAGTCCCCCACTTGGAATTCGCGAGAGCGGACCTTGGCGTCGTAGTAGGATTTGACTTGTCGTCTGTAGTTCTCCGCTCTGAGGTAGGCCATTTCTCGTCTCTCGTCGATGAGGTGTAGGTCCACCTTCATGGTTTCTTCGTTGGCCTCGGGGTCGTATTGTGTGACCCGTCGGCTGGGAAGCGTCACCTCAGTGGGAGCTTTGGCCTCGAAGCCGTAGCAAAGGGAGAATGGTGTCTCCCCGGTGGCCCTCCTCGGCGTAGTGCGATAGGACCATAGGACGTTGGGGAGTTCGTCGACCCAACTTCCGCCTTCTTCTTCAAGCTTCTTCTTTAGTCCCTCCAAGATGGTTCTGTTGGCGTTCTCAACTTGCCCGTTGGCCTGAGGATAGGCAACGGAGGAGAAGCGGTGCTTGATACCCCACTCTTGGAGGAGGCTTTGGAACGGTTCGGCCTCAAATTGGGTGCCGTTGTCTGATATGATCTCCTGAGGCACGCCGAAGCGGGTGAGGATGTTCTTGTAGACGAACTTTCGACACCGCGCTCCGGTGATGCTTGCGAGTGGTTCGGCCTCGACCCATTTAGTGAAGTAGTCGATGGCGACGATGATGTATCTGTTGTTGCCTGCAGCTTTTTGTAGGGGGCCGACGAGGTCGATGCCCCATCGGGAAAATGGGATGGCAGTGCTGACCGGGGCGTAGTTGACGGCCGGTCGGCCAGGTGCCCTTTGATAGTGTTGGCATGCGCTGCATTTGCGGGCGATTTCAGCACAATCGCGTGCCATCGTCGGCCAAAAGTAGCCTTGGACGACGAGGCGCCGTGACATGCTGAAGGGCCCCTGATGTGATGAGCATACGCCGCAGTGGACTTCTTCCATGGCTACTTCGGCCTCATTCTGGTGGAGGCACCGGAGGAGGGTGCCATTGTATGATCTTTTGTAGAGCTTGTCACCCTCAATGACATAGCTTGGCGCCCTTAGTTTGGCGAGTTTGGCCCTCTCCTCGTCTTTGGGTAATGTGCCGGAGGTGATGTAGGTTGCGATGTCAGTGATCCAATCCTCCGGCTGGTGTTGTATGGAGAGTATAGGGCTAGCGTGAATGCTTGACATGCTCAACTCCTCCACCTTAGCTATCTTGGAGATGTGCTCAGGGGTGTCGGAGCTGAGTTTGGAGAGTATGTCGGCCTCGGCGTTCTCCGCCCTTGGGATCTGAGTGATCTCGTAGGTATCGGACGCCTTGAGCAATTCCGCAGCGGCCTCCTTGTATTGCTTCATCCTCCCCTCTTTGGCTTCGTAGGAGCCCTCCATCTGGTTCACTACGAGTTTGGAGTCGCACTTGATTCTGATGTGGCGTGCTTTGAGGCCAGCGGTGTAACACCCCCATTTTCCCTCCCAAAATAATACTTGAAACAATAGATTTATTGATAATAAACTTGATTTCAAAACAGATAAAAAGTTTTGCAGCGGAAATAACACTAATTGGGAAATGGGTGTTACCGCCACATCCGGTCATCTCTTAACCGAATGCACAGGCATTCACAAAACTAAACAAAGTAAAACAAGTGTTCAACATAATTAAATTATAATTCTTGACTAGGTTTGACTAAGGCATCTCTAAACCGCTCTCGGGAATCAAGCAATCATCAGTCAACATAAGCATCATCACCTGCACAAATAAAGTGCAGAAAACAAAACACAGAAAATGAAACAAAAAATTAGCTTTAGAGCTAAGTAAGTACTACCCAACCCCGTAAAATAATCAGGTTTGACTAAAAATAGTTTTTCATATAATACTATATAAAAATGACACACTCCACCAAAATTCTTTTCTCTTTGATATTTCTCAAAATCACTTCTTTAATAAAGTCCTCAACTTTTCTTTGAAAATACTATAGTAACTCTTCTCTTAGAATTTCTCAAAATTCACTTCTTCTCTATCTTACTAGTAATTTAGAAGGGCGGTGCTCAACACTCTGGTTGAGCCCGGTGGTTACGTTGTTATGTACGGCCACCCCGGGACTTTTGCCGGTACCACAACTGCTAATGGAAACGAAACGACTACCTTAAGTGTGCACACCCCCTAAAAGGGATTCCAAGCCCTCCGAGTAGTAAGTCGTCACGAGTAATCGGGACTCAGTCTACCAACTACCCCACCTTTAAAATTCTTGAATGATTAGGGACTACTACTATAACTTCTTCTTAAAAGGGATCATAGATCCAAACGTCACTTCAAACTCAAACTGTACTTCTTAGTAGTAGTAACCTTAATCACCCTCCACATTTATCCGGATGTGGAAAACCGACACCACGGATTTCTCCCGGGTGCTCACCTCTTATGAAATCCTTAATTTTATCTTGAATTAAGTATACTTCAAAAATATTTCTCAATCTCTCTAAATAGTCTCAAAAGTATCTAAAAATATTTAATACCCAAAAGAATTTCGTTTGCACTTCAAAAATACCATAAATCTAATATCTCCTCAAAATCACATACACATAATTCAAAATTCACTCTTTATCACAAAATGCATAATAAGCATATAATACGAGGAAATCATTTTGGATCGGCAGAGAAACTTACCTCAAAGTCACGCTTTTGCTCTAACCCTACTCGAAATCTAGTTCACGTCTTCAACGAATTCGCCAATCTCTCCTTTAATATTATCAATGTGCGAAAATTAATAACTACTCCATTATTAAATTTAATTAATTCGGTTTATTACTCTTATTCGAAATAGTTAGCACTACTTGACTATAAAATTCAACTATATAATTTAAGTCTTTAATAAATTTTCTACTTAATTTATTTATACTTCTACTACTATTTAATTTTCGGCTATACATACTAATAATTCCTAATTATTTTATTTATCCGAAAATAGCCTGCTAAAACTTAATTAATTAAAGTAACTGATTAATTCTAATTTCAATTTAGTCACTAACTTATTTATCTTAGTCGAACTTAGTCTACTAGTAAAATCCATTATTTAATTATTATCACTAATTAGTTCCAATTAATTAATTAATTCCGAAAAATCCTATCTTTAATTACGAACTTAACTAACTTAATTTTATTAATAGATCAGACCTTAATCATTTTTAAATATACTCATTTACTTAATTAATTATATATAAAAGATCAATTTAACTCATTTAGTTAAGTACATTTATTAATTATTCGAGTTAATCGCATTTTATTAATCAAAATACCTTATTAATTCAGTCATTAATTACGGTATTTGAATTCTAATAAAACTATAATTAACTACAACATCAGATTTTAATTTAAATATCATCAAAAAAAAACATTCAAAGAACTAACTGTATTTCAATATTATCAAAACATATCCGAATTATATTTAAATAAACTATTCATATTTCCTAATTATCCGAATATTACATAATTATTTAAAATTAACTAATCGTCATCAACTTAATCTGATTTTATTAATTAATTACTTAAACGCTTGATATTACGTTAACTTATTAATCTACTTCAATAATCCAATAATGAGTGAAAACAATAACGATCCAATTTTCTCTACTAAATCCAACTAAATAATTATAATATAATATTTGTTTATCAATTTTTATTAATTGAACCATCAATTTCCTTTTTATTATTTAACAATATGTAACTATGTTAAATAACAATTAACAAATTTATCCAAGTAGTTACTATCAATTATTCCAGCCAATTTCACCATTAATACTTCTCATCTCAAATTTATCAATTTTGCAGATTATTATTATTATTACTATTATTATTATTATTATTATTATTATTATTATTATTATTATTATTATTATTATTATTATTATTATTATTATTATTATTATTATTATTATTATTATTATTATTATTATTATTATTACTACTACTACTACTACTACTTAGGAGTCTTGGCCCAAAAATAAAAATAAAAACTCCTGGCCCAAACGGCCCAATCTTCTAAGAGAGAAAGAAAAAAAATGTGTACACTTCGTCTTCCTGGATCATGAACTCGAGAAAACGAGCTAGGCAGGGGGAAGGGAGTTACCTCGACGGATTCGTGATACGGTGGTGGTAGAAGACTCGTTTGGGGACGGCGAAGGTCGGTGATGGGTTGGCGGCAGCGGCTGCTCCTCCTTCTTCTCCGTTTTCCGTCTTTACGGTTAGCCCGGCGGAACTCCGGCAAGCTCGTTCTCCGTCGTTTCACGATCGTTTTCAACGATTCTTTCACCGTTGGATTCCTCTCGAGAAGGGGAAGGTCTCTATGGTGTTTTCACGGCTCGGTTTTGTCTAAAACGAAGGGTCGAAATTTGTGTATATGTATATATATATATGTATATACGTAGTATATATATATATATACACGTATATGTATATATATATGTCGCAGGTTTGGGGATGAAGAGAGCTGAAGGTCTGTTCTTGCTTATTTATACTATGAGGTTGGAGGTTGTAGCTACGAACAACCCATGTGAGTTTAGGTTGGCAATAAGCTTGCTTCAACATATTCATGTGCGTGAATGTGTATTTCTTGTTCGCATACATTGGTCCATTGTGTGTGTAGGTGGGTTTTGGTCCCCTTCGGTCAACTCTTGTTTGATACAATGTACTCCCTCCGTCCCGCTATGATTGTCCCATTTTACCATTTCGGTCCGTCCCTTTAAAATTGTCTCATACCTTTTTTTTTGTAAAGTTCGTGTGATTCTAAATCATTCCTACTTTATTCTTACTTTATCAATTCAATATAAATTCATTTTTATTAATCACCGTGTCAACTTCTCTTGTCCCAAATTTAAGGGGACGGAGGTAGTACTAGTATATAATTTAGCCCCAACATTTTCATTTGTGTACGTAGCATTATTTATATGATTATTTGTGTGTGTGTGTGTTACAATACATTTTGTACAAATAAATGACTCTTGCATTAAAATGACAATTTTATTATTTATGTTATATGTATAATTATTACTTGTTACAAAACTGTCACTTTTGCTATTTAAGTCGAGGTCTCGACATATTCATTATAAGATGTCACTTTTATTATTGAAACATTTTTATCTGGTTAAAAATGTCACTGATGTTAAGATTTTATCTATTTCACTTGATTATAAGAAAAATCACTTTCATAATATTTTGCTAACCAATAAAATTTATTTATTTTATTAAATTTTTCGAGGTGTCACATTCTACCCTCCTTAAAAGATGTTTCGTCCCGAAACATAAACTAAAGAAACTTTATCCACAAATGAATACCACATCGCCAACCACGTGGGGTACTTCACCTCTTTGATGTGCTTGATGGATAGTAGCATGGCCACCTCGACCTTGACGAATTCTCTCCTGTCGGCTGAGAGGTAGCGCTTCTTCTGTTTGATGGGGGAGGAGGCCGGGTCGACTGAGAGTCGGTGTGTAATCACTTTTGGGCTGATGCCCGGCATGTCCTCTGGTCCCCATGCGAAGACGATGGCGTACGCTCTCAGGACAGAGAGGATGTCACTTCGGATCTGTTAGGGGAGGTGTGTCCCGATCTTTAGCATCCGTTCCGGCCGGGAGACGTCCAACGGAACATCTTCCACGTCTCCGACCGGTTCGGCCTTTGGTGTGTCTTCTTCGGCCGAAGCGGTGGTGATAGTGTCTATCCGCTCCTCGGCCTCATTAATCTTCCTTGTGAGCTTGAGGTAGCAAGCCCTGGCTATCTTCTGGTTTCCTCTGGCGTAGCCGACGCCGTCCTTGGTGGGGAACTTGAGGCATAGATGTTTCATGGAGATGATGGCCTCAAGGTCCTCCAAGGCCGGTCGGCCCCAGATCATGTTGTGGGCGCTGTCCAGGTTGACGACCACGAACTCCATGTTGATCTTCGCCTGATAGGTACCGTCACCGACCACAACGGGAAGCACTATCGTGCCCTCGGCGTCGATAGAGTCCCCGGTGAAGCCGGATAACGGAGTCCGTATCGGCCGGAGCTTGGTTCTCTTCAGCTTCAGCTGCCTGAATGTATCAACATACATCACGTTGACGGAGCTGCCAGTGTCGATATAGTTGCGGTGGATGATGTTATCGCCGATCTCGCATTTGACGACGAGGGCGTCCCTGTGGGGCAAGGGGCCGAAGGGGAGGTCCTTGTCGGTGAAGGTGATGGCCTCCACATGCCGTCGCTTCGGCTGAGGGGGGGCGTGGGACACCTCACCAACGTATAGGGACTGAGCCCATTTTTTCCGTTGGGTAGCCGAGTCCCCCCCTGTGTTCCCGCCGACGATGATGTGAATGTGATGCTTCTTCTGGCGGAGCTCTTCTTCGTCCTCATCTTCACTGAGGGCACCGATCTCCCTCTTTTTCCCGGAGGATCCTTCCCCCCTTTTGCCAGGGTTCACCCAAGTGTTACTCTTGGGGGCACCCTTGACAAATTGGGAAAGTTCCCCCTGTCGGACGAGGCCGTCAATGTGCCTCTTCAGGGTGGTGCAATCCTCGGTCTTGTGGGATGTCTGGCGGTGGTACTTGCAATATGTCCCCCCTTTGTGGACCGCAAATATCTCCTCCTCAGACCTGGGATCCTTCACGATGAGTCCTTGCGCCTCAGCGTGGTCAAGGACGACGCTCACCGGGTGGGTGAGGGGGATGCGTTGTGCCTCCAACTTTGGACGCCATGAACGATCCTCTCTTCGCTGTCCGCCTGGCTCCCGGTGTGCCTTCTTCTGCTGGTTTTGTCCCTTGTTGGCCGGCGCGTGGTGGGAGTTGGACGAGGAGTCCTTCTTCTGTTGCTTCTCCCCCCTTCTTCTGGCTCAGGAGTTCGTCGGCGTCAGCGTGCCTGTCTCCGCGTCGGAGCGCCGCGAGGTATGACCGCGGGGGCTCCGTGAACAGACTTCGGGCGAAGTGGCTCGGCCGAAGTGCTCCGCGGAGGAAGGCCAGGAGGGTGCGTTCATCGGCTCCTTCGCACTCGTCCGCCTCCCTCGTCCAGCGATCGAGGAAGGCTCGGAGCGTCTCCTCCGATTGTTGTTTGACGGTCAGGAGATGAGCGAAATGCTTCTTCGCACGCTTCCTCCCGACAAAGTGGGTGAGGAAGCGCTGAGCAAGGTCCTGCCATGAGTCGATGCTCCCCTCTGGGAGGTTGTTGAACCAATCGTATGCTGGTCCTTCCAAGGTGGAGAGGAACCAGCGGCACATGTACTCCTCCGAAGCATTGGTCATCATCATATTGTTCTGATAACGGGTGAAGTGCTCCTGGGGATCGGTGCGGCCGTCATATGGCTTGATCGGATTCCCCTTATATTTCTCTGGGATGGGGGCGGAGAGCACCCTCGCAGAGAAGGGGGTCTTGGTCCGTATCTGGATGACGGGCTCATCGCGTCGGTCGGCCAACTCCCTCTCCAGAGCACTGACTTTGTTCAGGAGCGCATCGTAATTGGGATGTTGTGACTTATAGGCCGCCGCGCGCCCCGCGGCTTCCCGAGCCTCCATATCAGCGAGGCGCTTTTTGAGACGGGCAATGATCTCGTCCCTTGGATCCGTGTTGGCCGCAGCGCCACCCAGCGGTGTCTGGATCTGGGCCGCGTGGGCCAGGTTGATCTGATGACGCGCGTCGTCATCATCCAGCTTTCCTTTGCCTTTGTCTGGTCGGGGCCAATCCGTTGTCCGGGAAACGGACCCGAAGCTTTCCTTTGGTGATCCCGGCTCGCGGCCACCCAACCGATCCGCCACCCTTCCCGTAGGTACCCGACGGCTCGCGATGTCACCCAGCCTGTTAAAGGCTGAGATTTTAACGCGAGGTTGGGCCGGTGTATCCCGGGTAGGTGAGGCAGTATGGGAATGGGTGTCCACGGCTAGGACGTCCTCGTTGTCGCCGAAGAAGGTGACGCCCTGTGGACGCGGTGGCGGTGGTGGCACCGTCGCGACCTCCCCAGTCACAGGAGTGTTGTTTTCCCCGGTCTTTGCGACAAGAGCGCTGACCACGTTGGGGTCCTGGAGGATGCTTGCGACGATGGCCGATAGCGCGGCCGGGTTGATCTGGGGGGCAGCAGGGTGAGAAGCCTGTTGGCCCGAAGCGCGATCAGCAGCGCGTCTGTCCTCGAGCCCGATGCGGGCGTCGGGGGCAGTCTTGTTGAGCTGGACGCGAAGGTCGGCCGCTGCATGCTCGACCTCCTGAGCATCCTCATCCTGGATGATAGGATCATTGGGGACGTTGTCAGCAACGTTTCCCTGCCCTTCTTGGTTCAGTGGGGCATTCCTTCCGGAGTTCTTTGACCTAGTCCTTGTCATTCTGTTGCGTCTAGTAGCGACGAGGGGTACTCACTTGATCTGTTCTAGGCTCTCAACGAGAGCACCAAATGATAGAGTATTAATTCTAGAGAGAAGTGAGAGCTAGAGAGAGAAAGTGAGTAATTATATTTCTCAACTTGGAACCCCCTATAATTAGCCCCTTGGGGTCTATTTATAGGTAAAAATGCGGATTTGGGCCCCTAGCCTTGGGCTTAGGAGGCCCATTACAATAATCATGCCTTCTTTGGGCAAAATAAGGCCACTAATGGGCTGTGTACAATACTTAGAAAATACAGTGAAAAATACATTCTGCCTGGACGAAGTCCGGACGATGCGGTCCATGGACGATGCGGTCCATGGACGATGCGGATCCTGGGTCTTGCCCAAGGATCTAGGCGACATCTTCTTTCTTGGACGTTGCGTGCCTTTGGCCGATGCGGGTGTCCTGCTGGTGTCTTTTGGGCCGTTGAGTATGTGGGCCATGGGGTCCAGGCCCATATACTCTATCACATACTTTCTTTTAAACTTTCTTAAACACATTTAGAAGTGATCCTATATTACTTTAGATTTGTGCATGGTGAGCTATTTATGAATTATAAATAAAGTCTTATTATTGTCAAGTGCTGTGTATTAGTATTACTATTGCTAAGTAGCTGTGTAATAGTAGACACGGAGAAGTCTACATATCCATCACTTTTCCATAAAAAAAATCAATGCATTTTCTTAGTTTCTCTTTTAAGCAGTTACTCTACCCAAAAGTATACTGCCTTTTGTTTTCTGTTTCTTTGACTTGCTCTTCTTTTGGAACGCTGATTACTCTACCTAAATTGCAGCCATGAATTAGTCTTGAAATAAATAAATAAAAACTGAAGATAAGGACATTTGAGCTGTTATCATTTATTTGTAAATTCATGTTGATTGTTTAGGTTTTCAAAACAAATGCAGTTAAAAACAAAGCATAGTCTGTTGACAATTTCCTCTGTTTGACAATTTAAAAAAAAAAATACTGAGTATGTTAAAAAGGATAAACATGTTGCTTTAGAAACAAAAAAAAAATCTGCAATGATAAGGAAAATGAAACTACATATTGAGACAAAAATTTTATAACATGCTAGATTATCAGTTAATATTTGGAATTGTTTGGCATTTTGTGGTTGCTGTGCTTAGTAGATGTGCAACAGTATGAGACATGGAGAAGTCTACATATCCATAACTTTTCCATTACACTAATGTGAAA